GAGCTGTAACAAAGTATTAGCAGGGGACCAGCAGCATATTTTTGCACAAAAGTCACCTTGTATGGCTGGTTAAGCACACACACACACACACAAAAAAAAACATTCTGGGTTGTGCCGTAACACCGTAGATATTTTTAATAGTGCATTTTATATTATTTTTTTCCTCAAATGCAGTGATAGAAGTTATCTTAAACAAGGAACTTTGTGCAAGAGTCAATCCCCATGTTAAGACACAATTTGGTGGTTTTGCCTAGGACTTGTTACAGGAAGAATGCAGATAAATGGTCTTATTAAAATGTTTCATTTGGTTTCATTTATTCAAACAGGGCAGCAGTGCAGTTTGGTTTTAAATATGTCGTAAATTATCAGAAGTTCCTCGATTTCAAGAGTTTAAGCTTTGACTTTTACAGTACAAAAAGAGATTAAATACTGAAATATAAACCAAAATCTTGTTTTTTTTTGTAACGTACACTTTTCATGCTACAGACATCATTACTGACTCATCAATCCAAAGCACAATACAATTAAAAAGGCTACATTCAAGACACATGCACCATAGTGTTTTAAGTCAATTACAATCAGTACACTGCTGATTATTAGTAGCCGATACTACTACTGAAGCAAGAGGAAATCCTTTTATTTGGAGCAGGACGGACAGAAACGTACTAAATCCAGTCAACGTCACAGATATGATTAAACTAGACATTATTGCTTGAGCTTTGTGCTTGGACAAGTGCTAAATAGCTTATTACTGACTAAACTCAGTGACTTTGCACACAGTGTGAAAGCATCCAACCAAACAATGAGTACTATTCAACTCATAGCACAACATATGTTTTAGTGGGAATTTTTATATCAAGTAAGTTCGGTGGACATTTAAAAATGAATGAAAACAAAAAAAGGTTATCTGCTTTTAATTCAAGCATGATCAAGGCGCAACTAAAGTACGATTAAATATATCAAAAATAAATAAAATCATGCAAAATATATTAATTAAAAAAAAGGTGGACTATACGTTCCACCTGTTCTGATTAAACCGTTTCTCTGAAGAAGAGGGACGCCACATGAATTGTTGATGGTTGTGGGTCCTGTAGCAGAAAGGTAAAGAAACGTCTCGCATCTTTTGGAATGCAGATATTGTAGCCCTTGCTGGCTTGTACTTTGACAAGAAGTGCTTTCTGGATACATTTTCCAGTGAAAAAAGGGCTTTTTTATTTTTTAAATTTATCTTTACAAGGCATATGGCGCAAATGTTCCCAATGGTGAGCTTTTAGCTGGTGTCGTGTGTGAGTGTGTATTTTGCTGGTTTCTGAGGATCAACTTGATTAATAGAGAGTGTCCCCCTTTAGTGTTTAACACTGATGCAATAATGGTCCTTTACAGGAGCAGGACAAAACATGGTGGATTTGAGCTGATTACAGGTAAAGGGACAGGTGACTTGTTAAGCCAACCTTATCTATGTAAAAAAGAAAAAAAAAGGCTATTGAAATGGTTGTGAATTTTGGTGGGAGGCGAGGTTAATTTGGACCAAGCTGAACGTGAGGCTGGTTCTTGGATGGAGATGTTTCATGAAGGAGGCTGGTTTGACGACTAAACCATTTGGGGAGAAAGTAGCTGGTACTTTAAAAGGTGAAAGCCATAAACGATTGCAGCTTAAGTGGAAAATATTGGCTGGTGCTTTAAGCAGAGAAGGCCAGTTTTAGACTGCAAGTGGAGTAGCCCTCGTCGCTGGCCGAGCTCTGCCGGCTGCTCTGGTCATCCAGGTCACTGGCGCCGCTGGTGCTAACACTGTCCATTTCTCCATGGGAGAACTCGGTGCTTTCCACGTCGACTTCAATGTCCTCTGCTCAAACACAAACAAGAATACACCAATAAAAAAACTATTTATTTGAAGAAAAAAAAACAAGCTGTCTTAAAGGGAACATTTCATGCAAAATCCAATTTTTAGCTCTTAAAAGTGCTTTATTGTGTACTTGGCATCTCTAGGAGTGCAGAAAAGTTGAATGCGCTGTTAAATAGAGGTAAACCCCTTTATCGAACTACAATGGACCACTTTGGAAGATGAAAGGGGGCGGGGTGTGAAGCTTGTCTTTTGGATTTAAAGAGACAGTTTCAAAACGAGCTGATCTGAGACWACTCAGAAAAGAGTTGAAAGAGAGGCTTGTAAAGTTACAATTAGACCAAAGCATTGCAGTTCCACTTTATATAGTTCCCAACTGAATKATTTAAATGTGGAAAAAGAAGAATTTAAAAGCATGATATGTCTCCTTGAAAATGATTAAGCCTGGGAAAAGAAGGGGGGGACACTGACCTCTGTCAGACTCTGAGCGATCAGAATCCATACGGGAGCCCAAGCTGTCTGTGCGGACCCTCTCCCACTCTCCGTGAGTCTGCAGCAGAGCTAGCTGCCTCTGCAGATGCCTCTGCTCCCTCTCTAGAGTGTCCAGTTGGTGCTGGCTCCTTCGATCCGCCTCTTCAAGTTTCTGGACAGAAAAAAAAAAAACAACAACATACATTTGGATGAAATCTCACACAAGAAATCCACAAGAAAAAAAATGCACCAGTTTGATTTGTTGCATTTACTTGTGCACATCATTCTGCATGAGATGTTGGTGAACTTCTCATGCATGGAGGTTTGCGTAGTGAGATACACCCCAAGAGAGACAGCATCACCACCACCCAATAAATTATTTAACAAGCTGCTAGTTGGGATGTACAGAAATAGCTGGCGTCTGAGTGTGGAGGATACATGTGAAATATGACTGAACTGAACACTGGTAAAACTGGAGGTTGTCTTATTTGCTGTTATTAGCAGCTGTGGAAACCCTCAGCAGGCCGGTCATTATGTTCATTTTATTTGAACTAATCTGATCCTGCCAACTATTACAACATTGTAAAAATGCCCCKCTGATTTGTACACAAGCAGSTTGTAAACAAAATTTAAWGCTTGCAGAATAAACGAAACAGAAGCAGTTATTGCAAATAAAATTACAGGATTAGGATTCCTTGAAGGAATGCATATCACCCATTTCCCTTAATGCCACAGGATCTTATGTATATTAGTAATTACAGCACTTGTATATTGTATGAGAGTACACACATCATGTAGTATTGTGCATACTGTATGAGGATGACTGTCATCTACCAGCTACAACTGACCAAGTTAAAGACTTTTTTCTGTTACTTTCTGAGAGTTTAACCAGCGATTCCAAAAATATTTTGTTAACAGACAAATTATTGATTTTTAATAGATAAGGACTAAGTAAGCAATGGTGTTGCACAGTACATAGTGGTCTCAGTGTGTGTTGGAGATGACT